CTTTAAAACGTCACTTTTTCATCCCAAGGCCCAGATTTTGATGTGTTTCAAATAAGAACATCTCTCCCTCTCCGTAAATTTGTTCTGGGACGTCTATGACCCCCAAACCATATTTCCTGAGATACTGTATGCCTGAGAACTTCTGGTTGTCTTTGATCTTGAAAATAACTTTGACCTCACAAGTCTGAAGATTTTAATTGCTCTAGCAGTCACTGCTCAGGAGTCTGCGCCTAACTTTCTTCTTTGCTCTTTGGAAGGTAACTTGTAAAAACGATTTTAAAAACAATTTCTCCATGATGCATGTGGATCTCCCTACAATTTACCTAAGTGCTGGGTTTCCCCTGGATTCTGCCCTAATATACTGTAAGATGGTTTGATTTCCACACTCAGGAGTGTGAGTTTCCGCTCCTGAAATCCCTCCTCCCATCTCACAGGAGCCTGAAGACGGCTTCTGCCCCCGGTGTTCCAGTTTCTTCATGAGGAACCTCTGCTCTCAGCCCCTTCGTTCATGCCCCCGTACGCACCTCTTCTCAGCTGTCACTGCTGACCCCCGGCTGCGATGCCGTTTGGGGGGGGCATGGGAAGATTTGTCCTGTTTATCACCATTTATCACCGAGGTCATCACGCAGTGATGTCACTAAAATGTGTTTCCAACAAGTGCAGGTCCAAATATTTCTATCCTAATAATTTCAATTTATTTTATACCCAGATCCCTAAAGCCCATTCTGCCTGGTTAGAAAAGTATTAGTTTTTTTTTGTTTCGGTGCGCGAGATTAAACCCAGGGCCTCCTACATGCCAAGGGCACAGGTACCACTCAGCTCCACCCCGCGGCCCCTCAATTAGGTTCCTGACACCCTCTTTCCACAGGAAAGTCCGTCCTAACCCTGCATCCCTGGATTCTTAAGAGACTAAAGTACCAGAGTGATCACTACTTTTGAATGGAAGAGCAACACCATTAGTCACTACGGCTTGACCTATTTATGTTTGGAACTCCGTTTATCAAAGCAATGTAACATTGGCTTTCTCAACTTGCTATGTGAAAGAGAAGGCAGGTGGCATTATGAAACCTTCACACGTGTGGCTTTAAAACCCCCCTAGGAAAGTAACCGTGTGGGGAAATGTCTTGTGGTTGCCACTGTGGAAATAACTTAGTGGTTGGTTACTGTCATGTTTTCATGAAACTCAAAAATGCATGGCACGGGAAAAACAGAAAATTTAATTTGGCGGGGCTAGGTTTCACTTCGTAATTCAGGAAGAAAAACTGTGACTTAAAATGATTAATATGGGTGTTACAAACATTGATGAAAAACAAAATTCATTCTTCATATACTAAAAGTCCTCCTTGAACAAATGACTATGGTAATCATAAAGTAGCTACGCTCTTATCTGTTTTCTTGTGTTCGTTAATAATGACCTTCTATGTACAAGTGTCTTATAATTCTTGTTTTGCTTTCAGGGTTCTTGGTATTAACCTTTTTATATTAAAACACTGCATAATCATAGAAACATATTCCAATTTGGCCTACTTCTCTTTTTTTCTGGGTACTGGGAATTGAACTCAGGACTTCATGCTTGCCAGGTAGGCGCTGCGCTGCTGAGGTATATCCCTGGTCCTACTTCTCTTATTTACAAAATTTCTCCATCTTTTTCCAATGTTAACACCACCATACCTACGTTTCCAATGAAGAAGGTCCCTACACGGAAATGTAATCCACAAGTAATAACATTCCCATTTATACCTACATTCTTAGACGTACAGATGTGTACCCCTCTAAGGAGTACTGCATTTGTTTAGTAACACAACATTTATATGACTGTGGTACAATTCATGCCAATTTAATATATTTTGATCCTGTAACAGAACAATTATCTTTTGATCCATTTTCAAACACCCCAATGTATGTGACAAATTTAACTCGACAGTTAATTCTGAAAAACATATTCCGATACAGTCTTAGCAAATAACTCCTTAAGAGCTAACATTAACAATAAAGGAAAAAGAAATCGTATATTTTAGCAAACATAAATGAAGTCTGGAAGAGTTGAGTCCATTTCTTCTAGAAGGTTTTTCTCTTTTGATACTTATTATGTGCTAGACACTGTGAAGTGCTGGATGCAGATTTATCAGATGCCATCTGTCGTGTTGTGATTACTCTACTTCCTTTTTCCTACTCTCCTCTCAAAACCAAAACAAAACATTTATAGAACTAGCACCATGTCATGCTAATGTGGTAATTTCAGTGACTCAATCTTTCCCTGGCTTCTTTATCAGCACCTGAACTGATAAACTTTTCAAGTGTCAGGAGATAGCAATAAATTGTTGCTCAATGCTTAAGGGAGGCACAGATAAAAGGAACTCAAGAAGTAACACAGTTTTGTCAAAATATGCTTCTTTAGATCAGGCAACTTGCAGGACAGACGTGGTGTGGAAATCTACAGAAACAACCACTTCCCTTGCATTTTGCAGACAAACTTTACATTTGCCTAAGTTCTCTCTGCAAAATACTGCCTCTGACTCTATTCCGCTCTCTGTATTTTCTGATTATTAATATTTATGATATGTAATAAGCAAAAAATGAAAATACACTCCCTTCTGATTTCTGTACCCAGGGAAAACAACCATCAATGTATGGTTCTGTATCTTTCAATGCGGTTTCTGTACACAGTATCATTTATTGCCCATTAACTTTCTGTTTTAATTTTCTGTGTGTTCCCTGGGTCACTTCTTTTACACATGAGGATCCTCCTCCCACCTGCAGGTAGCAAATCCCAGGCCTCTTACCCAAAATCTAGGTTATCTCTAGACAAATCCACTTGGTACCTCAAAAACACCTCCAAACACAGATTCATCATTTTCCTTCCTCCCGCTTCCGTTTCCTAACTTGTCATTTCTTGACTCTGTTCTTTCTATCTTATACCCTGCACGGACTGACAAAATACTGTTTCCATGAGCGAAGCTCCATGTGCCCTTGGCCTGAGCCACCCCCTCCCCCGTTATCTCAGAGATAAGGAGCCCCCAGGGCTCCCCATGGGGTGAAGTCCTCAGTCTCAGAGGCAGCCAGTCCAGAGCTCAGGACAGCAACAGAACTGGACGCCGTGACCCGCGACTCATGCTCCACCTAGTGGTCTGGACGGCACCCTGGGATGGACAGGGCCAGGTAGGACCCTGGGAGGCTGAGCTACAGCCCCATGTGGAAAGGACGAGGAGCGCTCGAATTCAGTGGTACCTAAACATTTGATCCAAGCATTGGATTCTCTGAGAGAAATGCCCAAGCCTCCAAAACAACTGTTCCCATTATTATTCTTTAGAGAAGCCAACAGATTGCTGTGGTATCTCCTTTCTTATGCTTATCAAAAATCACATATTTTTTTCCCCCACAATCATTTTGATCCAAGAACTACACTGTCACTGATATCCTTCCAGAATTTTCATGAAGGACAAATAAATAAATATAGTGCTAATTCATCTATGTATTAATTCTTCGACTCAGTGTACATTATAGGGTACTGTCATGGTGCAGATGCTCAAATCACCCCAGTCTGTAATAGGGAATCGGATAAATGATGAAAATAACGCAAACAGCACACTACCCTGGACAGGACAGGGACGAGGTCAGAGGCAGGGACTGAGAGGGCTCTGGGAAGACCTGGTGAGGGCTGATTTTGAGAGGTCAGGAAAAGTTTGTCAGGCGAAGACCACAGCTACAGCTTGAGGCTCAGCAATCCACACGCAACTTAGCACAGGGCACTTAAAAGCTGTCCTGAGGCTGCAAGCCGCCGCATGCAAGATGAGATATAAAAACGGTCTCTTTCCCTGATCTTTTCCCTCTTTTTTTTTTTGGAAATAACATCTTCAATTTTAAGAGGAAGTTCACTACCACACAGAAGTCTCCTTCGATAGTGACAGCTACGGACTTTTATTTCATTCTGACAGCGTGAGGCTGGAGGGACCCACTTAGGGATGTCACACTGCTAATCATCTTTGCCCACCGCTGCGCTGCGAACTACATGCTTCGCTTGAGTGTTTTTCAGATCTCTCTGTTGGAGCCAGCACAGCCAGGAGCATCTGCGACCACCTCAGGGCTGTGTGTTATCTCTGATGAGCACGGTTAGGAAGCACCTTAAACAGAGACCAGATCTGCCTGCCAGCAACTCGGGCGTGAACTGGGACTGGCTTGGGGCCTCCTCACTTATCTACAGTAGCACACTCCCTGCGCTGCGTTTGCGTTCTGTTCTAGGGACTTCGTGAGGTTTCCCCTCCCTGGCCACCCAGAGCTGTCACAGCCTGCATGTCGTGAGCTCTGTCTCTGCCCCGTCTCTTTGATCCTCTTTAGCACAGGCCCCAAGACTGCCTGAGCCAGAGCATAAGTCTGCGATGGATGATTCACTAGAGCCCCAAGTGACCCTCTACACAGTCCATTTCTGATGCCAGGGCTGTTCTGTTTTTTTGAGACAAGGTCTCACTTTATAGAGTCCAGGCTGGCCTCCAACTCACAGCGATCCCTCTCCCAAGTACTGGGATGACAGGCATGCACCACCACACCCAGCACCATGGCTGTTCTGAGAAATGCTAGAACCCTGTGGACTTACACTAAACTTCCTTGTAACTAAAATGCCCAAAAATGTTTTCATCTTTTTAACTGATGGATGTGAAGCTGTCACCATCATTTTCTACTGTCTATGGCTGATGCCAAAAACGATGGTCATTTCTACAGTACTTTTATGGATATGCCCATCCACATAAAAAATCTGTATTTCTCTCACGGGGAAAGCAACCACTCCTTAGGTGAGTGTTTATTAGCATAAAATACACGCAAGACACCATGCCAGATGCCAGGAGCGCAAAGCTGCATGGGACGAGGTATTCTTTCACTGTTACCATTTACATAAAATTAAATATGTAAAGCAAGAGCCTGGGGCATTCAGTAGCTGCTGAATAAACCGGTATTGTTACCCTCATGTATAGGTCAGCCTTTGAAACATTATTATAGATACTCACCAACACTATAATATCTCTTCAGCTCTGTACGCCTGATTTCCTTTAGCTGGTTGTTTTTCCTCTTTTTCTTCTCATCAGTAACATATTCCTCTTCCACAGCAACGCTGCACTTGTCTTGTTCCAAAATGACAGAATTAACATCCTCCTTCCCAGGATGAGTCCTTGTAGCTACACTCGATGCTGTCTCTGCATTTTGTTTGGCTTTTTTCTTTTTCAACCTAGGGACAGGGGAGACATGACTTACTATAAGAAATCCTATTAACTGTATGCTGTCAGGCTTTGAAAATTATTTGATTGATATAGGAAATTATAATATTCCTAATTACACTTTCTTGTTATTCTTTCATGTAACCACTTTGAAAATTCTTACACAGTGACCCGTAGCCCTTCCTTAATTCTACATTCACAATATTACATCTCAAAAAAATACTGGAAATGGAGGCATGCACCCAAGTGAGATCTTCTAGAAGCTATTAAACACGGAGTGTTTTAAAGACATCAAGATAGATAACCACCCTAACATAATGCCATGCTTGAGACGCTCCATTAACGAAAAACATGGCACTTCTGGTTTCCTACCCTGCCTTTGCACTGACGGGCAAGCTGTGGGAAAAACAAATTCCTTGTCATCGCTCCAAAGCGCAGCATCAAGGTTTGCCAAGCCGCGCACCAGTTCTGGCGTGAGTAATTCTTTTCCTTCACATACAACACAAAAGCACTCAAGGAAGAGCACAAGTTCCTGAGCTCTAAAATAACATGACAACACATAATTATCATTCCAGTTACTAATATAATAGCTAACTGATACCTTAGTAAACATCTTTGACGCTTCGAATTCCTTACTCCTGAGTCCCAGATGGACGAGATAAAGTTTATCAAATCCACTGAGACCCACTCATTCAAAATATTTCACAATGGATGCCTCACTCTGGAATTCACTGACGTGCTACTCTACTTAGCAGTCCTTCTTGAGAACGTCTGTGCAATACCGAAGGGTAGGCAAACTCTGCGAGCAAAGGTCTTGCCTTACCAGACCTATGCCTCTGCGCAGATGCCAAGCGTTGTTTTGACCAGGACCTCTCCCGGGGTCCGGATGAGAAGTACCCAGTCACTGTGCACCTCCTCTTATAGCATTTCTACTTCCTTTGCCTTCCTGACCATCTGGATGATATGATGTTGGGTAATGAATAAGGAAATGTGTGGGTAGAAAGTGACATAACTGTAGGATAATTCAGGGAGGAAGGTTTGATTTTATATTGCTTTTTTCTGTGACGGTGAACAAACCAATATCACAGCTCAGAAAGGTCTCTCCAGAGGCTGTGACCCCTTACAGATTATTTTTCCTTTCAGATTCTTCATTAGTGATCCTCATAATGATCGCATTCCTTGTGGAAAGTTGGTGCATGTATACGACACATCTTAATTCCTTTTCTCATTCCCTTCCTTCCTCCATCTCTCCATCCCTTTCCCATTGGAAAAAGATCTCTCTCCCTAGTTTCTATTACTTATCCTTTATTTTTCTCTTTATTTATACTTTGGATTTCTCATGTAAGAGAAACCATGCAATATTTAAGCTTACATGTCTGAATTATTTCACTTAACACATGGTCTCCCAAGGTGGATCCATTTATCTACAAATGATCTTTCCAGCAGAGTAGTGCTCCACTGTGTATAAATACATCTTCTTTACCCATTCATCTGTTGATGGATACATAGGCTGCCTCCAAGATGTAACTATTATGAACTGGGCTGTTATAAACATGCGTTTGCCTTTAACCCTTTCAGGGACATACCTAGAAGTTGACCCTGTGAGAGTTCTGACTTCAGGCCAGGCACGCCCCCAGAACATCACTTATCTCACACATTACATGTGGGAACTGAACTATCTCAGCCAAGGACAAGATCTTTTATTAGGACCAGTTGAGAGAACACATGTCACATGTACACAAAACAAACAGACAGAGTCATTTATCCCCTAAATACAGCCATGTCATGCTTTGAGAATGAGGCACAGAAAGCTAGCCTGATGATGCATGCCACGTTGGGGATAAAGTCCCACATTCTAGCAAGACATTTCAAGTACCTGCTAGCCCCTGAGCACTGAGAAGCCGTTCGCAGATGTTTGTTGGCTGACACATGCGTATACGGCCTTAGGCCCTTGAGACAACACAGGTGGAAAAAGTCACAGATAAATACACTGCTCCTCTCTTAGTTCCACTGTCTTTATAAGTTTGGATGCTCAAAATTACAGACTCATAAAAAGGCATTATTTTTAGTAAACATGTTTTCATTATTTTCTGATTTGAAACTATTCTAGTAAAAGAGTAGGTGGCTCCTTGCAAAGCTGGGTTTGGTAAAGCCCTTAATAATACAAGTTTCTGCAATCAAGATTGCTGTTGGAGGCTTAAATGAATGTGCAGAGGCCTGGTTACAAAACAGACACTATCTCTGCACACAGGAGCTCTGTCTCTGCAGATGGCTGATGTCCTTATCCAATATGGCGCCTACGGAGGGGATGATCCTGCCCTAACATATTAGTTGATTAGAAACATGTTTCAAGTGAACTTGTGGCACCATTCACAGAATGATTTCTCCAGAAGGAGAGAAAACAGGTGTCAAAGATTAGTTCTTTGCAGCCTGAGCTACGCTGCTTCTTCATGTGAATTTTCCACTGTAAGTTCACTTCAATGTCCTCATTTCACTGCCTCCACGATCATTAGCCTCACTCGGCTCTGGGGCTGTTTTGATGAATGGCAGCACTATTTGGGGAATCTCATTAGAGACCGATTTTCACCCATGGAAATAACAAGATGGGATACATTGTTTTATGCATTTTCTCGCTTTGCTGCGCAGAACATTACTGTCAACACACACAGCAAAACATAGTTGTTACTTCGAAAAAATGTGAGAAAACAGCAAAATCAAGCTTGTTGAACAAACAGTACAACTTAATACTTTAAAACTGTCCAATCAGCTGCCCCTTTTGTTTGGGCTGGAACTGGACTCTCTGGAGGTTATCTAGTGGCATAATTGGAACATGCTGATCTTGCGTATGGAAATCAGATTGATTTCTGGTAGTCTTCAGTAAAATCCTCCCCAGCACGGAAATAAGTTTTTAACACCTTTTCTTGATGAATACAGGATAGTTAATGCTCTTCAACACTGCTTTCTAGAACTTCTGTCTTTCAGGCCTTCTTTGTTGCTCATGTCAGTACTTACAGGGTGACTCCTTACCAGAGCAGTTTGTTACCACTAAACTGAGGGACACTGGGAGAAAAGGTCTTGCACAAAAGTGGGCAGCTCTTATTTCATCCAAGCTTTTCTAATGATCCCCCAAACATGCACATTGGTATTGAGTACTAAACAGTAGTTTGCAAATCATCTCAAACATGTAGGTCAACGCAAAATATGCCTATATGTCCATTGGTGATAACGGATAAAGAAAATATGGTATCTATACATAATGGAATACTACTCAACTGTAAGGAGGGTAAATCTGAGACATGTGAAGGAAAATGGATGCACCTGGAAAAAAAAGTTAAATAAAATAAATGGAAAAAGGTGAAATGCCATATGGTTTCTCTCATTTGACTAAAGCAAAATAGAAATAAAGAGCAAAACAAAAGACTGATAAAGGGGAACAGGGAGATCCTTTGCAAGTGGGAGGGAGCCAGGAGATGAGGGTGTGGGTAGGACAAGGGGACATAAAAAGACTGAAGGTGCGTCACGTACACGTAGCAAATACCCAAATGAACATAATTATTGAATGTCACAAAACAAACTAAAAAAAGATAATACTGACAATGGGTGCAGGGGATCTAGAGACGGGGGAGGGGAGGACCAAGGTGTGTTACATGCAGGTTCCCACTCCCTGAGATGAATGCAAGCATCACGTACTGCAAGGTGTCTAATAAAAGAAGCAATTAAAAACTGGATCAAAACCAGAAAAACACTGAAAGATAGATTGTTAAGTATAGTTTTTTAAAAAGGGTTTTATAATGTTGGGTTGCATTTGTTTTTCTTTAAAATAAATTCCAATTACAAATTTTTTTTTTGAGACAGGGTCTTACTGTGTAGTTCAGACTGGCCTTGTACTCACAGAGATCCTCCAGCCTCAGCCTCCTTGAATGTGGGCACCACCATGCCCAGTTTCAGTCAGTACTTGTGAACGAGTAAAGAGATCAATGTTCTAATTTGGTTTGAGATTTTTTCTCTAGACATACGAGCTGTCACAGCTTGCTCTGATTCGCAGCATGACTCTGTCTCTAAATAAAATTTTAAAAATTAAAGATGAAAATGAAAACAACTGGGGATGACACATACAGCGGACGGGTGCAGAGCAGAGCGCTTGTCTAGAGCCCCACAGACCTGGGCTCAATCCCAGCGCCGCCAGGCGTGTGCATGTGGATGCTCCCCTCCTTATTCAGATCCTTGTTAAATTGCAGACTTCTCTAGTTAACATCAGTGTCCGCGCGACTGTGTGATTCAACTAGAGCGCACACGACTCTTACTTTATAATCTAGGCTCTGCAGGCTTCTGAAGAAAGCGTCACAGACGTAACAGCTAATACTGCACTGCCCAATATGAGGACCATTGGTCAGCCACCCACGGTTACTAAATCGAACTAAAATCGAATAAAAATTTACAATTCGGCTGTAAGCAAGGCACTGCCGGAGCCCGATGGGAGCAAGGCCTGTGAGGGGAACAGACATTCGGGACACGCCTGCGGTCACTCACTGGACACTCCTGTAGCCCTGGTAGCAAGAGGCCAGCAGGGAGGGTGAAGGCGGCAAAAACACTTCACACTTAGTGTCTTCGGGGGCTATGTTTACAAGGGCGCACCAAGTAACGGCTTAGAAGAGTTTCCAGAAACAGGAAGTTACTACCTGGTGAGAAGGGACAAGAACATCCTTTTTTTATGGTGTTTTCTTTTGTACATTTTAAATTTTATACCATGTACAATAGCTATTTAAAAAAAACTTTATTTATGGTCTTTGATGATTTCTTCCTACTGTAAGAATAACAGCATATGAATTTTGTCAGAAAGTTTGAGTTTTAGTTTCTTAAAGAGGTTATTATGAAAAACTGAAAAGGGCTTTCTTCTGACAGTGTCTAGGGAGTGGAGGGAGGAAGCAGGCCCCTTGCTGCGTGTTATAAATGTCCCGCCCTCCGAAGCCCCAGAGGTAGGTGGTTTTATCTCTGTTTACAGATAAGGAGG